TAAAAAATAAACAATTTAGATTTTCAGTACAAATCGGCAATTTCATATGTTTATGTTTACTTTCGTGGCCTACACCGGTAAAGAGTTGCGTAGTCCGTAAACGACAAGCTTTGTGTTCTTCTTTCAATAATATTTCCGAGTGTATTTCAAAAATAATATAGGATATTTAATATTCAAGACAAGTTAATATCTAAAGTAGGCTCAAACTTGCTTTGTATGGAACACGCTTCCAGGACTATCCTCTTAAATAAACCATTAAAACAATGGCTTGTAGACAATAACATCTTCATCAACCAAGCCATCGTGTTATACAACTTTTACAAGATTTACAATTCAACGATCACGAGTCGGAAGTATGAAGTTCGCGCGTGCAGAATTAATTCGAGTCACGAAACGCCCCGCCTAGAGCATTGTCTAACTAGCATCCGTGATAAAGCAAGGCTGAGATAACACACGTGGCCGAGATTTAATCGATTGGGTGGCATAAAGTAGAGAATATTTATTTTTCTTTAGATAGGTTAAATGATAGTTGTCCAAGTCTAAATAAGTTATAGTGACTTAGATGTTCACATTTTGCTGTTTACTTTGCAAAATGCGTTCCTTAATTAATTTGGGACTATATTTTAGGCATAATTAAAAAATTACTGCCAATCACATGCGCTACTAAACTGATTTGGAATGCCTGAACGTTGATATAAAAAAAATTTAAAAATGCAGACTTTAAAAAAATATACACTGTACAATTTTCTTAATTATATTTAGATAGTTTTAAGTAGTTTATCTTATGGGCAGTATTACCTGTGTATACTTGCTTATAGACCTAAATTTAAAAAGAAAACAGCACAAATGAACAATTTCTTTAAACATGTAATAATGATAATATTACTGACTACGTACCTCAAAATTTAAATTAAAATGCGAAATTTCAATTATAATTTTTCAGATGTCACAAGATTCACGTAGATGGTCACAGGAGTTCACAGGTCAACTAGTCCATGTACGATGTCAACAACTGAAGTGTTGGTTACAAATTATCAGGGGGCAGGTCGCGCCCCCACCCCACCTGCTAGGGTTAATATGTTCACTTGACCCAACGTTTGCAATGGGGAAAAAGGCATACGCGCGTGACTTACCATCTACTTTTTTATAGTTTTTTTTTTAATTATATTTTTGTACCAAAAGACTAAATCAAAACAATGGCAAATTATTTTTTATGTTTCCGAAACAGTAAATAACTGTAGAATATAAAATGTTTTAGTTATGGTTTTTTTTCATTTTGCAGCACAAAAATAAACTAGGTATGTAGCCGAGTTATAAATAAATAAAGACAACATCACGTTGCTCTAATCCCAAAGTAAGTTAATGCACTTGTGTTATGGAAATCGGAAACAAGGACAGTACCACAAACACCCAGAACCGAGATAATATAGAGAATTTAGTTTTTCTACTCTGACTCGGCCGAAGATCGAACCTTGGACCTCAGAAATGGCAATTATGTGAAAGCCGATGTTCAAGCCACTCGACCGCCGAGATCGTCAAAATTGCTCGTTAAATAATCATTGTTAACATTTTCGTGTCAATATAGACATTTAAGATACTGCTCGGGTTCAGGCCAGTCGTTCTATATTTCAGCTAAGACATATTTGCAGCAACACTGGGCGGTAACCAATAACGTGATTAGCATGATTTAAGCAACAGACCTATCACGCAGTCCCTTAGAATGCATTTGAAGAGACCAGGGAAAGTATGATCAAAGTCACAAAAAAACGTGTTTGGACTTAATACCGCTACCTATGTAGCTCCTTACATGCTGAGAGTATTTAGCCAAAATCATAAAAATTGCTATAACAAAGCGAAGTATTTGTACCTGCGTCAAAGAACATATAGCTGATGTCAAACACCGTCACGTAAACAAGTCTGCAGTCTGCGAGCATGTCATGGATAAACCTACACATTCAATGAAGTTTGACAAACCCCAGATCCTTGCAAAAGAAGTCCGTTATCTACCCAGGATGCTGCGAGAGGCCATTGAAATTAAAAAACATCCTAATTTCAATAGGGAAGATGGTTTCTCCGTACCACCAGTTTGGGTTCCAGTATTGACTTTAATGAAAAATCCCAAACAGACATAAGACTGCAGTACTAATCCCAAACTGGTGGTACGGAGAAAC